GAAGAGCGGAGCGTTGTGTTTGTGCATCGTAGTAGCGCGATACGAGTGTCTGTCGGTGCAGAACGCTGCGTGTTGTTGAGCTCAGTGCGTAACGTATGTTTGGGGGGAGCAGAGCACTGTGTGTTTCGGAGCGTAAGCGTAATGTGGTCGAGGGGCGCAGGTCGAGGTGTTTCGGGGAGGACGCGGGACGTTGTTTGTGAGGGATAGGCAGAGCCATGCCTGTGTCGGACGCAGGGCAATGTGTGCGTGTCGGCGCGCCGAGCGGTGTGTGCGTCCGTCGGCGCAGCGCGATGTGTTTCGGAAAAGCGGGGGGCGACGCCGCGACAGGGAGGTGTGTGTTTGGGGAGGCAGAGATGAGACTATCCTACGCTGCGCGGTGTGTTTGGGAGCCGGTGCAGAGCGATGGGAGTGTCTTCGGGGAGCGGAGCGATGTGTGTGTCCGTGGGCGTAGAGTGATGTTTGTAGGGGAGGAGCGGAGCGCTGTGTCTTTGCATCGTAGTAGAGCGCTGTGTGTGTGGTTGGGCATAAGGCTAATGTGGTTTGGGGAGCGCAGAGCGATGGCTCTGTCGTACGAAGGTCGATGTGTGCGTGGTGGGTAGCAGTGCGATGAGAGTGTCTTCGGGGAGCGGAGCGATGCCGGTGTAGGGGAGGAGCGGAGCGCTGTGTTTGTGCATCGTAGTAGGGCGAAGCGCGTGTCCGTCGGTGCAGAGCGCTGTGTGTGTTGTTGGGCTCAGGGCGTAGCGGTTTTTTTTTGGGGGGGAGCAGAGCGCTGGTTGTGTCGGAGTGTAAGGGTAATGTGGTTTGGGAGGGGGGGCGCTGAGCGATGTGTTTCGGGGAGGACGCAGAAGGACGGTGGTTTCGGGACAGAGACAGAGCAATGGCTATGTCGGACCCGGAGGAACGTGTGTGTCCGTCGGCGCAGAGCGGTGTGTTTCGGAAAAGGGGGGGGTGGGGGGAAGGAGGAGGCGGAGAAGGAGGCGACGCCTCAGGGCGATGTGTGTCTCGGGAAGTGCAGAACGATGGGACTATCGTAGGCTGGAAGGTGTGCTTGTAAGCCGACGCGGAGCGATGAGAGTGTGTTCGCGGAGCGGAGCGATGTGTGTGTCATCGTCCGAAGGGCGATGTGTGCGCTTTCGGCGCGGTACGATGTGTGTGTCGGACGGTGCACGGTGATGTTTGCGTCAGGGAGTGAAAATCTAATGTGTGTTTCGGGGTGCACTGTCTTTTTCGGGAGCACAGTGCGGTGTGTTTCGGGGACACTGTGTGTGTGTGCACATCATTTTATAGTAAACATCTTATGGAACAGTGTACTGGAACTCAACAGTGGGCTGTTGAGAGAAGCCGTGTCTTAAGGTCGCTGTAATAAATGCTCCGTTTTGGGACCCCCGAGCACTTGGAAGGAGACATCAGATTTTCGTCCTCCTGCTGCTTGACGACGTGGGAAGTGAGTGTGTTGTGCGCTTCACGCAGATCATCTTTTACCAGTTTCATTTCGGGTTTCTTCGGTCGAGCTTGCGCAAGTCGCGACAGCACCACGCAGGGATTCCTTGCCTACTTGTGGATTTCCGCGTTCCCGATTGCCGAGCGCGGCGCTGCCCTGCTGCTCGCCCTGCCCGAGTCTCCCTCGGCGGCGGGATCCAGCCCCGCTCGCCCCAGGTAAGACAAGAGATGGTCGCGAAGGTGCCCGCTGCTCCCAGCGTAAAGCCTAGCACCGGCACCGCGTCCCGCCGCGCTCTGCTCCCGGCCGCGCTCCCGGCTCCTCTCCCGACCCATCCTTCTGACTGAGATGTTAATTACAAACACATTTCTGTAACGAATTTATATTTGTTTCACCTGGCTATTCCTTTCGGGAAACATACACGTTAGAGATTCAATTACCTCTGTTTCTTGCACCGCTGCCGGATGCCCTTTGCAACGGAGCTATCTTACTCATGAGCCCCAAATTAACCCTTATGGGGCTTCGGCGGCAAGCGCAGAAACATAAGGGTCGCGCACACACCGTGTCGCGGAGCAGCTCCTCTCCCCCTCAAGACGCTGCATCCCACCTCGCCCTCCCTGTCCCGCAGGCAGCAACCCTGCCTTGTTTCTCCTCTCGCCACTGAGGCTCTGTCTTGGGTGGGTGTTGAGGGAAAAGGGATTGTAGATGGAAGTTTAAGTGTGGGAACTGCCGGAGTAAAATCCGTGGTGTAACCCGAACGGAAGTATCGGACTCCTCCCCAGAGCCCCCGTCCCTCCGTTTGCTGGTGCTCGGACTTGCGGC